TGAGGCCATCAAAAATATATTTCTTTACGTTTTTCTTTACTGTGTTTATATTCTGCCGGGCTCTAAATAGATACAGTATATAGAAATATAGTGTTTTTCTATCTTGCTCTGCTGGGAATAGGGACCAGCGGCTCCAAAACACCAACTTACATAGTTACATCGCTGAAAAGAGACTTGCGTCAATCAATTTCAGCCTTCCTCACATATGTTTTTGCTGTTGATCCAAAAGAAGGCAAAAAACCTAGTCTGAAGCACTTCCAATTTTGCAACAAACTAGGAAAAAATCCCATCTTGACCCCAAAATAGCAGTCAGATATCTCATTGGAGCAAGCAGCTATTACCCCACTAATTAGAAATGATGTCCTGTATGTTATATTTTTGCAAGTATTTATCCAATTGCAGTTTAAACATATGTATGGACTATGATAAAACCACCTCTTCAGGCAGAGAATTCCATATCCTTATTGCTCTTACTGTAAAAATAAACCTTTTCTTTGTCTTGGATGAAATCTCCTTTCTTCCAGCCTAAATGTGTGACCTTGTGTCCTATGTATAGCCCTGTTTATGAATAGATATCCAGATAATGGTTTGTACTGGCACTAAATATATTTGTATAATGTTATCATACCCTCTCTGAGGCGCCATTTTTCCAAACGAAAGAGATTTAAACGTTTTAACCTTTCTTCGTAACTAAAACGCTCCATTCCTTTTATCAATTTTGTAGCTCATCTCTGCACTTTTACTAGTGCCATGATATCCTTCTTTAGAACAGGTGCCCAAAATTGCACAGCATATTCAAGGTGTGGTCTTACCAGAGATTTTTTAAAGAGGCAAAATTATATTTTCATCCTGAGAATTTATACATGACAAAACCTTACTGGCCTTAGCAACTGCAGATTGGCTAAATAGTGTACCTAAATCACAACTTATACGTATAAAAAGAAATTGCACGGACAATGACACCTTCAAGGAACAAGCAGACAAATTAATTACTGACTTGTTAGATAAGGGCTATAAAAAGGAGACCCTCAACGACACTTATACATTAGTTTTAAAAATTTCACAGAGCACTTTATTACAAGAAAAAAACAAAACGCAAAATGAATGTGAGGTCAATTTACCTATTGTATGTAATTACAGCCATAACAATAAGGCATTAAGGAAAATCCTAAATAAACATTGGCCTATTTTACTTCAGGACCATGCCCTATCCCAGATTCTACCACCAAAACCCAAGGTAATATTTAGGGGTGCAGCTAATTTAAACCGACTTTTGGTAAAGAACCACATTAAAAAAACTAAAACTACTACCTTCCTAAATAAAGGAAAGGGTTTTTACGGATGTGGTACTTGTCTTGCGTGGAGGAACACCAACAATAAAAAGAGACATATTAAGACTTTTAAGAACTGCAATAACGATGAGGAATTCCCTATTAAAGAACTTATAACTTGTTACTCAAACAACGTAATATATTTATTGGAATGTCCTTGCGGTTTAAAATATGTGGGACGCACCAAACGGAATTTGCAGACTAGGATTGAGGAACACACTAGAAATATAAAGAAAAAATTGGAAGGACACAGTGTATCACACCACTTCACCCTGGCCCACAGTAGTGATCCCACTCAATTACTCTTTATGGGTATACAAAAGGTTAAGGGGAATTGGCGGGGAGGCGACCTTAATAAATTACTGGGACAGAGTGAGATGAGGTGGATATTCAACCTCGGGACTTTAAAGCCCCGGGGTTTGAATATAGACTTCGAACTCTGCCATTTCATTTAAATGGGTATCTCCCTTTTTTGGGGGTTCAATGGAATTTATCCATTGTAATCCACTCTACTCTTTTTGTACCCTTGTTTTTCTTTTATACATTTTTCTTATTCATTTTCAATCAGTGGCATATTATTTATGCCCAAACTTATAAACATTGTGAATACCACTTAAAGAATATTGATTTATCCACCTTTTGGGAAAATACCCAATAAGGATATCTATTCCAGCACATATGTATGTAATATCACCTTTTTAATGTATAAAAATATATGTACCATCGGCACTGTATGCACCTTTAACAATGTAAATATATTAGTCTATATGCACCACAAATTATATTTTATCACTGGGAATGTAATATCTGACATTATGCAATTTTACTGTCATTTCAATTCTGCAGCCCTTTTTGCTTTTTTTTTTTTTTTACTTGGCTGGATGGCGATCACATGATTAGATGATGTCACTTCCGCCAACCACCTGGGTGAAAACAAGTACTTCCGCCAACCAATGCTGCCCACCAATGAAAAAAGAAAAAAACAAAAAAAAAACAGCACTGTATGCACCTTTAACAATGTAAATATATTAGTCTATATGCACCAACATTTATATTATATCACTAGGAATTTAATATTTGACATCATGCAATTTTACTGTCATTCCAATTCTGCAGCCCTATTTGCTTTTTTTTTTTTTTTTTTAACTTGGCTGGATGGCGATCACATGATTAGATGACGTCACTTCCGCCAACCACCCGGTTGAAAACAAGTACTTCCGCCAACCAATGCTGCCCACCAATGAAAAAATAGACAAATAAAGGCGTCAACATCATTAACCTATTAAAGGTACACACATACACACACATTATGTGAAATTGAATCTGATTGGACAGAATGAACTTAACTCATTAAAGGGGAAGACCCAGATGACATTTAAAATGGAGGATTCAGAGGACCAACATTACAGCTGACTGAAGAAGCTCTATTTGAGAGTGAAATGCGTATTGGCCATTTTTTAAGGACTTTTATTTGAGGACTTTTATCATCTTTGTTTTTATGTTTATTTTAAACTAATAAATTCACCATTTTTATTCAATACCTCATCCAAGTTCCTTTTGGAGCCTCCAAGGAATCCTCACAGGGGTAGTGCCATCCCCATTCAAACTGGCACAAAATCCACATACCTAGAGCCGGGATTCGTAGGCTCAGGACCAGGTGAGCACCCCATTTATTGAACACATATCTGTGCCATTTATCACCATAAGTCTACACATTGGTTTGCTTTCTCCTCTTTTTTTCGTGTTCCTGAGAAATTCTTCAAGCCGAAGTAGGAGGGTGGTGCTACCATAACAGCACACAAGCCTTTATACGGAGCCAGTGTTTTCTATATACAGGCTCCTTGAAATGTGAGTGTAATATTCAACACAATATTATTATAATCACTGTGAAGCCATTTTTTAGTACCGTCTACACTATATTGTATTTTCTGTATTGTATTTTGACATGTACCCCATATTTTACCATTGAATGAGACTACGTTTTGGTAAGATTTATCTGTGTTTGAGCGCTCCACTTATAGGTGTAGGTCCTTGTCACTTACACCGCACCAATATCAACTGCAGATTGACATTGCATATTGCTGCCTAATTTGTTGTCTATAACAATTCCCAAATCCTTCTCATGTATGGTTATCCCCAATTCACTACCATTTAGGGTGTAAGTTGCTTGTGCATTCTTGACCTTGAAGACCTTAACTTTCTTTATGTTAAATTTCATCTGCCATTTTAGTGCCCAATCCCCCAATCATTCCAAATCCCTCTGCAGCAAGGCAATATCCTGCTCACATTTTATTACTTTACAAACTTTTGTGTCATCTGCAAACAA